TGCGCATTGTCCGTCGGCTCTCCTTCTCCGAAGGTGGCCATGATGAACATGGCGACAGCCGTGCTCGGGAACTCGTTCAGGTTGGTGCAATCGTAGTCTTCCAGGTTGGCCAGCATGGTCCTCAGTCCAAAGCGAGAGTGACCCTCCTTTGCGAGCCGCGCAGCAATGTCCTCGGCAAAGCCTGTCTGCGAGCCGAAGAAGATGACGCAGTTCTTGTCGGAGGCTTTCATTTGCTCAACAATGTTTCGGCTGCCATTGTTGGCTGGCAGTTTCTTGAAGCCGGAGGATTTTGCTGGTGACTTCTTACTCGCAAGGTCCTGAAGATACCAGAGTGCTGCTACAATAAGGAAGACCAGGACAGTGGCGATCTCAGATCCGCTGAGGGAGCCTATCTTGTGCATAAGGATATCTGCATTGGCGGCAGATCCGAGCTTTGCTGATGCCATTTTTGAAGGTGATGTTTGGTGGTTGAAGCGGTCAATGTCCTGGATTGTTAGAAGCTGTAAAATCCATGCCCCGGTATACAGGGTTGAGGAGATATAGGCCCCAGCAGAGAGTGCTCTGTAGCCTTTTGTCCAGGCCCATGCCCTGGCCTCTCCTCCACGGTGCCGGGGCTCTTCATGGGGTTGCAATGCTCCTGGCTGGACTCGCAGACTCTGGCATGTAGCCACGGTGCTAATTGTCCGCATCCCGCTGCGCTGTGGTACACATAGGCTAGCCAGGCTATTTGTCCGAGCTCATCTCCAGGTGTATTCGTCGCTAGGCGTTGGCATAGATTTACCCAGGTTCGGGGGGTTTTCGGGGCATATTCTGGGGCGACGTGGAGCCAACTGGACCCTCATGCTATCAGATTCCAATACCCGGACCAAAATCCGGATGGTCTCGGAGCCTAGATGGTTAATGTCATACCACTGGTCGATATGGCCCAACTACACGAGCAGCACTCGTCTCGGACCAGAAAGTGCAGGTCGAGCAGAGTGCCAGTATTCAGCGGCGACAGTCCGCCTGGTCTTGGCACCACCCGCTTTGGACTGTAGCCTGCCTCTTTACTCCAACATCATGTGACCTGGTTCAACTTCACTCCAGTCTCAGCCAGGAGGACCACGCAGGTGTCCAGAATGTTCAAAGGATGGTGCCTCAAAGTTGTTTCTCCGGAGGGGAATAGAGCAGCTGAGCTAGCTGCATGGCCGTGGCTGCTTCATGCATGTACTTTATGGCTCCAATTGTCTAGACTTAAAGCCTCAACCACATCTACTTACATCACCCAATGGCGTCAAGATTGAAACTCGTGGTCTGTCCTCTTGCACAGAAGGCACGGGCTGTCAAAGCACTTGTGGCGTTCGATGCCGAAGCTGGTCCATGCAATATCATGAGTGGCTTTCAGAGACGGCCGTCTCTCATGGGCAGTGGCTCAAGGCAAAGCGGTGGATGTGAATGCGATTTGCACATATGTATAGCTCTAACGGGGTGAAGATCTCGCTCTTCCTCAAGATGCTTGTCATGTTCTAATACCGTCAATAGGTCTGTCATTCATACCAAAATCCCGATAAATCAATAGTATTGGGGCCTACATTGACTCCAGATATTTCTCAACGCGTACACAGATGCTCCCACATGGAATCGCAGTGATTAAGTCATGACTGCTAGGAATAGGGAGGGTTGGAATGTTGTTGGAGCAATGATTTGGTACGAGCTGGAGTTGAAAGATACATTCTCGGGTTCCTTATGAGGGACTTTGGCACTCTACCTGACGCAGGCTTCGTCTTGTACATTGGCATGCACGGAGGAGGCCATGCCGCAGATTATGAAAACAACAGCGATTGGTTCCACTGGCCCGTCCAGCTCAGCGCCGTCTACGTGTATCCGTTTCGCTGACTAAATCGTTAGTGGGAAATACAAGGACAACCACTTGGGTCACGCACTTTACGCTATCCGCTCAAGTTCCGATTGAGATGCTCATCATAACCATGCCCCTTGAACACCCCTTCCGCCTTGAAGAATGCTTTTATACACTCCAGACTCTCAAGCCACCTCATTTATCGACTCGAACAAGATTTACCTTTGAGTTACTTGGGCGGAGGCATTGTGTCTACCCCTTGTCCATCAACCTGGCTGACCGACTAGCCGCGGCCCACATGTCTGTTGGAAACCTGGAGATGGTCAACTCGACATTGTTGTCAACACGCGTATCTGTTTGCGGGTTGGTAACGAACACTCCGCCAACGATCGTAATACCCACACGGTGGGTTTGGCCTTCAAGCTTAACGCTCTCGCATCACGGCATCAAGGCTACTTCCCACGGCTCCGTCCTGCTTGCAACACCGAACTTGATCCAGAAATGGCCGTGCAAGCGCCTTTCCTACTGATTGTACCTCCACAAGGACACCAACTGTTCAACTACCTCAGAGGCGACCTTTGAAGCTGCGAGCAACTCTTTCGCCGGCCGAGCTGGGGATTCTCTTGTCGGAGACCATGGCTGACTTCAACGCGAAGTCAAGGTGTATCTGCGCGGCGACGGTAAGAAAAAGCAGCATTTTGGCACCTGTACAGTGAGCGTCAACGAAAGGACCAAGAAATAGATGCTGGATGCTCGGGGCGATGACTAACCGGTGGATCAAAGAAGCAGCCCAACGGCCTAGCTAAGGAGTGGGCTGACGAGACCGAGGTAACACATACATGATTCACGGATGGACCGGATGCTCTAGCGAAAGATGGCTCAATCGACATTGTGCTTTGATCCTATAAACTATTGAGTTGGTAATGGACCACACCACATAAATTCCTTCTAGACTGAGTGTCGCTACTGTAGTAAGAACAAGCGAGCATGCGTACACTGCTGCGGTAGGCTTAGATAGCTTACAGAAGAGTACGTCCTAAACTTCCATTGCGTGATTTATTCGGTTCACCGGTTCAGCTGCTCTCATGTTGACTTCACTATCACCTCGAACCCTTCTAGGTGTGATTAGCGTAACCTTTCCGTTTTATCAAATATTAATACATAGGTATATATTAAATCAACGGAATTCCTTCCACAATTCCTCGCTAGGACTGGTCAAACTAGCATCAGCTTGTAGGCGTGCTGGCGATGAAATGTCGACAACCCTCCTCCTTCGAACGATAGAAAGACAGGTACTAAGGGGCATACAGGCAGTATCACTGACCTCCCTACCTCATCCACCTCCTCCTTCCTTCCCTGCGAAAGAATGACAACAAAAAAAACCCTGCGAAGCCGGGTTTTCGCTCACCACATCCTCCTATTCGACTGGAGGTTATGGCAGAGTTTTTGATAGGCGTCGGCAATGCGATCTGGTCTTGGCATTGTGGGGAATCGCCTGAATACGCTGAAAGTGCCGCTTTCAAAACTATCTATGAGGTCCTTGCCCCTCTGCCCCTTCAATTCGCCCTTGTATGGACGGCCCAGTCCTGTCCTGCACCTTCGTCTGCACATTCGCCCTCCCGTCACCAAATCGGGATCTGAAAAGTGTCCGTCGAGGGTTTGTCGCTTTCTGCATATACATGAACAGTCCCTCTCTCCCAGCATGCTTAAGAGCACATGCGACCTAGCAACATGTTTGATGTTAGCACCAACCCGACCACCAAGGAAATGATATACAGTACCAGTGTACAGAGCCATGTATTAATAAAAAAGAAACCAGCATTTTCTGGCAAAACCTAGAGACGTATCGATGGCCAACACTGGTGCCTCCGAGCCACTTGATCTCATCACCAAGGTTAAAATTGACCATCTGTCGCACAAATTTGCTACGTGGATCCATATCCAGCGCTTGCGGCTGAAGTCCTACGTGCAAGGGACAGATTGGTAGGTATCGGCATCGCATGCCAGCAACTTGAGAACAACTTGGCTAAGTAGAATCCAGATTCAGGAAAGTTTTACTATCACTTTGCAAGTATGCTGGGTGACTTTGATCCGCTCCTTGACAAGCAATTGCAGTCCTTGAAGAGCTTCTTGGGCAGGATGCGACATCTACGCCGACTGTGCCAAGCTGGACAAGACAGCAAGCTGTCCGGCCGACACCCGCAGACAGAATGAAACCGACGTTAATGGCACTGAAAAGTACAAGAACGCACAGTGGGTCTTTTGAAACACCATAGGCACAAACTGGGACAAATTACGGTGCTGGACATAAGACCAGCTTCCGCCAAGTCAGAAATTCCACCGGCCTGGGCACAAGTAGGTGGTCAAGATCCGCAGTTCTACCTCCTACGGCAACCTGTTCGGACCCAGTGTCACGACTTTAGGCTCCTTCGCAATGGCGGTCAAAGACCATCTTGATAGTCTCGACAGATGGTTCATGCTTCCGAATAAAGTCGTAGTATCTATCAACAATAGAGTCCGCTGGTAAATATACTCGCAAACATTCACACTCCATTTGGGTCTCTGCTCTCGGTCGTTAACGACGAAATCAACAGGATCCAGAAGTTTGAGGACGCGGTTGCTAAGTTGTACGACTACCTCAACTCCATGAATCCGTTTTTGGACGCCGCGAATGTGAACTAATGCAACGGCCACTATCATTCAAGTGACTCAAAATGAAATCTTACTAACGCATACACTTGGTTGATTTCGAAGGAAAAGGGTTGACTGTATAGTGACCCTCGATGTCTCTGACAAACTACTTGATCGACTGACTCACTGCTCACTTTGCTTCTTCACGGCCGTACTTACGCTGCTAAAGCTAGTCATGGCTCATCTTACGTGGCGAGATGCTCAGGTCTGCAAACGGAAGTGGACTTCGGAGAGGACAAGATACGCTGCTGACCTAAGTGGCATTGGGCAGTGATTAATTCTGAGTGCTGTGTATCAGACAGTGCCATTCTGTACGACTGGTTATGGTGGAGATTGTGGCTATCTTGTCGAAGAGAAATAAATAAGTCATGTATTTATAACATAAGTGCTCGATACTGCACTCGGCCTTGTAGAAGTTTGTATCTATGTGAGAGAGCTACTTAAATCTCTTGGCATCCGGCGTCTCCCAATTTCACTCAAATGGTGCAAGATCCTTCAACGACTTCTCATACTCGCGCTTGATTACTGCAACGTGCTTCTCGCTCCTTGGCTTGAAGATAACTTTGAAAGGACGTGGTGCGTGCAAGAGGCCGTTCGAGTAGTCCTCTGGATCAAGAGATATAGTTTTGCCTGTTCTAGGGTCGACCGGTTCTTTAATTTCAAAAGCCCAGATTAGCTTCGCAACGATTCGCCATTGATTGCGCTCAGCCAAGTGGACACCGGGGCACATTCGACGGCCAGCCCCGTACCCATAGTGATGTGCATCAGTGTTAGCGGAAAGGACGTTAACGGGAGGAGGTAAACTTATCTCTCAGTTTATAGTCGGCGCTCCCTGCATAGTCATTCGCCAACTTGTGGTGATTTATGTATCGGTCGGGATTGAATTTGAACGGGTCATCGTATCCTTCTCTTTCCATGTGGTGGACAGCCCAGATAGGAAGAAAGACAGTGGAGCCCTTGGGGATGAACATGCCTTCATACCAATCATCTTCGGCAGTGCTGCGAGGGAGGCCGGTTGCCACACTAGTTTTGGATCAGCGGAGATATCGTGGGGCTGAATGAAACATTCTACTCACGCCGGCCGCCATCTCATACCCTCCTTCACGATTGAGTTCACATAGGGCAGCCGGGAAAAGTCCGACCACTCAGGCATCCTTGATTCACGTCAGTTTCGATTTCAACTGAGTCTGCCTCTCAGAAGTCTCACCGTTCGCTTCCGCAGACATCAACCATTTGCTTGTATGCCTTCTCTTGAACCCATGGATTCTTGGCCAGTGCTAGAATCATGGTCAACATGGAGGACGAGGTTGTCTCGGCTCCCCCTTCTACCAACTCTCCGAAGAGCTGGTCCAAGGCGTGTTGTGACATGGGGAAGCCTTTGTTGTTATACTCGTTGAGGAGTCTGTCTGCAAGAGACACTCGATGGTCACCTCTAGCACGGCGCTCGTCAACCAGGCGTCGAGCTTTTGTCCAAATGTCGTGCATGCCTTTTCCAGCCGTCCGTGCGCGTCTCTTCCAGAATGCAAATCGCTCTGGCACTAGCTTCAGGATGGGGTACTCGTCGACTGGGGGATTTGCTCCTGGCTCGAGGGCTTCTCCAAACTATTCGTGTTGGTAGTCAATGTTTGGCCAGGAGAAGGGCAACGTGGCTTACCAAGTTGAGAGCATCGTAGACAGCCTATACCGATTAGCCAGTGTATGGTCGAAGTACAGTGTCAGGGACTCACATGACCCCAGAAGTTCTCAAATGTAGGGCCTCTATGCCCGTAGATCAAAATACATGCAATGGATGAAGTAGTCCGTCGGACATGGTTGTAGAAATTCTCGGGGTCCGTCAAAAGCTGATGGGTCAAGACAGTGACCCTGCTGGCGGTTAGAGATGCCACGAATACTTTGTCCATCTTGCACTTACTCGGCATCTTGCACCTTTGCAGCACTCTCATCTAAGATCCTAGGCTTCTCCGGGTTAAACCACGATGACTTGGTTTCGGACAAACCCTTACTCACCGAGAAATTGTGGGTTGCGATCCGACGCTTCTCCTTTGTCTCTACAGTGTTCGGGGCAAACACAATGCTGTCGCCAGAAGTGATGATATCGGCAACATAATTCTTGGGCCGTTCAGCATATATTAACCCTTTCTTGTCCCAGAGCTCATGGATGGCCTTCTTGTCACAAACAACAATCACATTTCGAGGGCCGAACTTGAGGGAGTAAACTCCTCCATACTGCAGACTCCACTCCTTGAACCTGGACACTTGTTGTGAGTGACAAGTATTAGGTATGAATGTTTGTCAGAGATCTCACTGCTTGTAGAGTCCGGTGACGGGGACCTGGTGTAGATTCCCGAGCAATGGTAAGGTTGGAGGTCCTGGTGGCATACGAGGGTCACGTCTGCCAATTCGCAATATCTTGAAAAGACCGGCAACGACAATGACCACTACGCCAAGATGAAAGAGAGTGATTTCGAACATCCTTGGGGTGAATTGACCTTGCCAAGGCCTTCAACAGTAACGAAGTAAAGTAAAATGCAAGGAGTACTGGTAATAAATGCTTCCGAACTAGCTCAATGGATTGGAAGTAATCCATGATATAAGTATAAGGCCCGCTCAAAGGCTCTGTTCATTCTAGGGTCATCATGCTTGCATTAACCCCCCACCAGATTATTGCAAGCGGCTGAATTCAGCGGTATGTTATCGGGCGGTCCTGACGGTCAGTGCTATATCGCTCCCGGTGGGAGTTTCACGGTCGCGGGGGATTTACATCTCAAATGTGGGGAGCCATTCGGGCAGTCAGACCTCACGGACAACAAACAGGAGCATTATTTACAGCTTACATATCCAATGGCCCGTAGGACATGTTATGTCAAAAGGATATAATATTAGCATGGATTCGCAGCAGTGGCATATTCGCCCGCTTCCTGTCATTCCCATATAAGCACACAAGGGCAAAAGACAAGACGGTTGCTCGATACATTCATATTCTGCGTTGAAGGCTATCCGCGATCACAATGGCTGCCAACAACTCCAACGGAGGATGGTATGACGAGGTAACAGTATCCTCCACGGAATGATGGCGCAGCTCTGACAAAAAGACAGACGGCTTACTCGACGCCCGAGGACGCCTTGAAGAAGATGACATTTCCCCCCAGCAAAGTACTCTTTCCTTCGTCTCAAGATAGGGTCCTCTTTATTCTGACCGGAACCCTTTAGTTGCACAAGCCCGAGCTGTATCAAGAAGAGCAGGAGATCTTAAACCACATCTGCGGCTGGTCCCACGTGATGAACAAGCTCTTTAATCAGTCCATCGAGCCTGGGCGGCCTTTCTACGACTTTGACGACGCCATGACATATGATATCTACGGTTTCACCCCTCGAGGCGGGATGTTGGAGCACTACAACCAGACATTCCACTATTTCTCCAACTCGAGATTCGAAATGAAGGACCTTGAGCCTGTGGCGACGTCCAAGACCTCGGGGTACATCACCATGATGCAGCGCCTAGTGGGTGGCACATCTGATGACGGTAACAAGTTCGAGATGACATACCGTATCACTTACATTCTTGCAAAGATTGACGGAGCTTGGAAGTTTGTTCATGAGCATGTTTCTTTCCCGGTTGAAATGTCAACCATGAAGGCCGATCCCACATGCACCATCGATCCCCTCAAGGCTTTTAAAGGTATCGCCAGCCAGTAGCCACTAGTGCAGCTGGACGATAAGTACATAGGTCTGGGGGACTGATAAAGTCACCTAACATTGTCACAAAGTCATGACAATTTATTAGAGACTGCAGTAATCTATTCACTCTTGTCCAAGTGCCGTCTCCAAGTCCTTGGGCAGGATGCCGTCTGTGGCCTCTGGAATCGGTAAACCCTGACCGAAGATCAAATTGTCATATCCGATCATGAAGCGGACTGGTCTAGCAAGCCAGTTGTCCTCGTCTCCTGTAATCGACAGTCAGGGATTAACTAACGCGAGCGGGGCATTGACTTGCTGTTCATCTTTTCGATGTATTCTGGGCTCGAAAAGAACGCTGCAGCATCCTCAATGGATGAGACCAGAATTTCACTACAACCGTCATACTCCAATAGTTCCATTCCCTCGATCAGAGTCTTTGCCGCTTCCTTGCACCTAGGAAGTGCATGGAACTGATCGTCCAGTCGGTCAAAAGCTTCAACTTTGGGAAGTCATTCTCTACTCACTTGAGTATATCGTTTGATGTTGAGCGCAAATGCCTTTGATGCCACGGCCAGATCCGCATGCACCTTGAGCGACAAAGCAGTGAGCATGGAGCACATCTATCAGATAGGAGATCGATCAAGCTCACCGTTTCCCAATGCCTGTGGAAATCCTCATGACTGATGTCGGGTCTTTTCGAGAAGAAGAAGCTCAACTTTACGTACGGTTGGTAGTTGGGCTTGGAGTTTGGGGATAGCTGCTTCAGGTCAAAGGTATGCTGAACAAGAAAGGAAGGCATCGACATCATTCACAAGTCCCGAGGGTTGTTGGAATTGAAAACATTGGATTGATTGTAGCTCGAACGGAGAAGAGCTTGAAGATGATTCATCCAGATATCTATAGAACACCATGAGCGGCCCATCTTCGGTACATGTCAGCATATCCAACGTGGGAATGACTGAAGCTTCTTCGGGATATATTCAGCGCGTCGCACTCCTTGATAGAGCAGCAGGAAAGCAAACACCCACTGTGAGGATGAAAAATGCGAGCCCCACAAGGATTCCATCCAGTTCTGCCTGACTTGACTTGGATGGCAGGGCACTTACGCACAGAACTATTTCTTTTGTCGCCTTGGTCGTTGGTTTCAAGGTGGTATTCAGTGCGGGATACTCTGCGCCTGGAGGTGCTGCGCGGGTGGTTCTCGGGTGGTTTGAAACTTGTGAAATTGCGCCGAAACGCGTCGTTGCTGATCTAGGTCTTACGGAGAGACGAACATCGCGTAAATTATGTTATGGTGCCTGTAAGAGGTGTTTACAAAAGATTTGTCTCCAGGGTTATGATTCACAGCAGCATGCTACGAACAATGACAAGCAAGATGGAATATACCAGGTTTGTAGTGGATCTCATCGTGCTGAGCACCAATGACTAACTCGCCAATAACTTAGACTTGGAACCTCAGGTCTAAAAATCTCGAAAATCATTCTCGGAGCAATGTCATTTGGCAGTTCAACATGGGAAAAATGGGTGCTGGATGAGGATGAATCTCTGCCTATCCTGGAACATGCATATAAAAGCGGCGTAAACACATGGGATACGGTAGGCTCGCTCGCTGACGGATGGTAGCATTAGAAAGAGAGACTTGCTCACCTTGGGATGCAGGCCGACTTCTACTCTCATGGAGAGAGCGAAAGAGTCATAGGCAAAGCGCTTCGGACGTTCAATATCCCGCGGCAGAATGTTACAATTTTGACAAAGTGCTACTTCGGCGTAAGCCACGATGGCAGTCAGCTACCTCTGACGGAATGTACTGTTAATGACGGGGCCATGGTGAACCGCGTTGGCCTCAGCCGCAAGCACATTCTCGATGCGGTCGATGCAAGCGTGGAACGCCTAGGCACGTACATCGACGTCCTCCAGATTCACAGATTGGACCGAGACACCGAAATGGAAGAGATCATGAGCGCGCTGAATGATGTGGTGCAGTCAGGCAAAGTGAGATATATCGGCGCAAGCAGCGTTCGTCTTCCCTAGCTGATGCTGCACAAGTGACTTTCTAACTCCAAAGCAGATGGCGGCGTGGGAGTTCCAGCGCATGCAGAATATTGCTGAAAGGCGCGGCTGGCATCGCTTCATTAGCATGCAAAATTACTTCAACCTGCTTTACCGAGAAGAAGAGCGGGAGATGATCCCATACTGTAAAGCTACGGGCGTGGGCATCATTCCTTGGTCTCCGGTGGCTCGGGGTGTGCTTGCACGGCCTTGGAAGTCTGAAAAGACTGTCCGCGAAGAGACTGACGCCTACCTCTCGGCGCTGGTCAGTAAAGAGAACGAAACGGACAAGGCTGTGGTCGATCGCGTTGAACAGGTGGCAATGAAAAGGGGTGTTCCAATGGCAGCGGTCGCAACAGCTTGGGTATTGAGCAAGGGTGCAAATCCTATACTCGGGCTTTCGTCCAAAGAAAGAATTGACCAGGCTATTGAAGCAATGAGTCTGAAGCTTTCTGATGAGGAAATCAGCTACTTAGAGGCGCCGTACCAGCCCAAGCACGTCTCCGGGTATTGAATGAAGGGAGGAAAATGCTGTTTGTGTGATTAGACCTCGAAGAAGAGGCTTGGGAAATCCCATGGCTGGGGATAAAGCAGAGAACATGACATCTGGAGCGTCTATTGAGTGCTTACGCGCATGCACCTGTCCGTATGAGACAGCGGAAGTCGAAAGACACGGCCATAAAGGGAAGGTGATGTAGATAGTATTGCCGAACACTCAGACTTCAGCGGGATCACACCGTTCCACCTTCATCTCTCGGATGATCTTACCTCAGTCCGACCGTGTTTCGGCAGCCCGCCAAAGGTCCAAGATGACTTCTGTTGGCTGCCCGGTGTTCCTGATCCCCCGGGCGTTTAAATATAGAGAGCACTCCAGCATTTTACACGGACTAGGAGACCCCAACTCAACAGTATCACCGTGTCGAAATGACATCCTTTACTGGAAAGGTCGTGACTGTTACCGGCGCTGCGTCAGGGATGGGACTGGCAACTGCTAAGCTCCTATGCTCTAGAGGGGCTCTGTTGTCGCTCGCAGACATTCGAAAAGATCACTTAGACGCGGCCTTATCACAGATTACAGAATCGAACCAATGTCCTGACAACACCAATATCTTGACCTTCGGCGTTGACATCAGAAAGAGCGAAGAGGTTGACAGCTGGATCGACGCAACCGTGAAGCACTTTGGGCGACTGGACGGCGCTGCCAACGTTGCTGGAGTTTTGGGAAAGTCATTTGGGACGGGTAGCTTGACAGAGATCGACGACCAGGAGTTCGACTTCATCACCGGTGTCAATTTCAAGGGCCTATTCAATTGCCTACGGGCTGAATTGAGAGTCATATCCAAAGGGGGAAGTATAGTTAATGCATCAAGCTCGACTGGCTTGGAGGGCCATCCCAAAAACTCTGTCTACTCGGCAACAAAGCATGCTGTGATCGGCCTGACCAAGAGTGCTGCGGGCGAGTTTGGCGAACAAGGTATACGAGTGAATTGCGTGGCTCCGTGAGTCCGATTTCACCGCCCACCATTCGGCAATGGCTAAATCCTACAGGGGTACCATCAAGACACCGATGGTGACGGCTATTGGTGGGTTGAACAAGGATAATATGTCTTCAGTTTTCGCCCGAGTGCCACTGAAGCGAATGGGTGAAGCAGATGAGGCCGCAAAGGTGTTCGTTTTCTTACTGAGCGACGAATCCAGCTACATGACTGGAGCGACGGTAGTAGTGGATGGAGGTTTATTATGCTAGCCTGCCAGCCGTGCATAGAGAAGAACTCCAAACATAGAGATCAATCGCAGCACAAGAGTGCCATTGGGGTCTGAGAGAACTGCGCGGTTACTTTTGTTAAGCCAGGATCTATGTACGGCGGTGTCGACTCTCTGCCCGCCCTCTCTGGTCGTCCACAGCCCCCTAGCTGATGAATGATAACACGGACCAATGTCGAATCAAACTTCCCGTCAATATATTTTGGTGGCTTACCAACCGTCCTGGCGGCAAGGTTACCTGATAGATGCAACATGTCTTCAGCATTTGATCGGCAAGATCAAATCATCCTCCCCCGCCATTCTCTTTCCCCGCTGAATTTCAACGGGTGGAGACAATCAATTCGGCTACAGCGCCGAAAGGTGGAGCAAACCAATAGAAATTACCCCGATTACTTGGCCGGATTAACTTGATGAGATGGCCAAATCGCCCGAGAACGAACCTCATTCCTTTCATACCGGGTCTCTTGTGGCAAGTCGGAGAATGGCTCGGAGTAGCCCCCTAGGGGCCTCCAGATGTGACAGCAGTTATGGTGTTGGTGATGCGCGAGGCGGATCCTTAGCAGCTTTACTATTACTGCCAGCGAAGAAGTTTGACACTGAATTGGATCTCTCTTAACGTAACCAACACTTCCTGCAACTTGGGTTTCGAGCTCAACATGATCATAATGGTGGACACACCAATCTGGTCCAAACCTTACCTCTGGGCGGCGGTGGTCGTCGTCGTTCTCGCCATCTATCGTCTCTTGCAGGTCGGCAAACGCGACCCTCGAATGCCCCCAGGTCCGCCTACGGTTCCAATTCTAGGAAATGCTCACCAAATTCCTCGCACCGGCCTCTACAAGCAGTTTCGAGAGTGGGCCAAGGAATACGGGCCAATCTTCAGTCTCAAACTTGGACCTTCGAATGTCGTTGTTCTGTGCGATCGAAAGGCGATCCATAAGCTTCTCGTCGAGAAAGGCGCCATTTACTCGGATCGTCCAGAGACTTATGTTGGCCAGCTTCTGACCAAGGGTGATCACCTGGCGGTCTCGCAGATGGATCCTCTCTGGAGAGAAAAGAGAAAGGTCATCGCGCACAACTTCTCACCTAAGCCATTGGACGAGAAGCATTTCCGAGTTCAGGAGGCAGAGTAATCATAATTCCCCTTACTGAGAAGTTGACTCAAGACTAATGCGCATCCTCAGGGCTACGATCCTCATGAACAACCTCTTGACAACCCCTGAAGACTTCTACAGGCAGATCAGGAGATACACGGCATCTGTAGTGAGCTCAATCACGTATGGGTATCGTGGCGAAACTCCGGACTCATTCTGGGCCAAAGTAGGTGACATGATACATTTTCGAGTGTGTCCACTAATGGTACTTTATAGGGCGTCTATGATGTGATGGACAAGGTAAAGCAACAATACTGGCGTCATTCTCGAGGTCATCCCTAACCTTTTACTTAGTGGACGGCTGCTATGGAACCCGGGGCTAACCCTCCAGTGGATGAATTCAAATTTCTCCGGTATATACCCATGTCGATGGCATTCTGGAAACGTCGGGCTGTCGAGGCTGGTTCTGTGATGGATAGTGTTTGGGGAGAGGCACGCCGCCGGATCGACGAGAGACGGGCTAAGGGCGAACGACGAAATTGTATCATCGACACTCTGCTGGACGAGTACGAAAAGAAGGGAATGCCATTCTCCAAGCATGGCTTCGACAACCTGATGGGTGAGCTAGTCGAAGGCGGTGCAGATACAACTGCAGCTCAGCTTCTTACCTTGATCCTCGCTTTTGGTCTCTACCCGGAAGTCCAGCAGAAGGCACGAAGAGAAATTGATGCTGTTTGTGGCACTGAGAGAGCTCCCCTCTGGTCCGACTTTGACCGACTACCATATATCAACTGCATTGTGAAGGAAGGCATGAGATGGCGCCCAGTGTACGCTTACCCGTTGATCCTCGCTAGCACACTTTGACTGACCTATCTTTCACAGGGCTGTCTCAGCACTACCTCACAGGGCACGGGAAGGTTCGTGATGCAGTCGGTACTGAAGGAGGTGGGCTCCGTAGCTGACACAGTAACAGACGATGTTTATGAGGGAATGTTGATCCCCAAGGATTCAACCGTCTTCCTCCCCACATGGGCCATCCATCACTCTCCCGAAATCTACCCTGATCCGGAAACCTTTAACCCAGATAGATATCTCCATCACCACAAGCTAGCTAGCGACTATGCTGGAAGTCCTGACTGGGCAAACCGAGATAAGTTCATCTCTCCCTGCGCAACGACCTTAAGAGGCTAACTTCATCTTTACATCATTATAACTATGGTGCCGGTCGACGTGTCTGCCCAGGCATGCATCTTGCCGAGCGCAACATGTGGCGCATCGCAGCAAAACTCCTCTGGGCCTTTGACTTCTCCGAGTATGTAGATCCTCGGACTGGAGTTAAGGCGCCCTTGGATCCCGATGCGTATAACCCAGGGATTCTTCAGGCGCCGTTGCCTTTTAAGATTGCTATCAAACCCCGAAGTGAGAAACATGTTCAGCGAATTCAACAAGAGATGTCGGACGCACTGGACTTTTTGAAACAGTACAGCTGAACCGGCTAAAGAACGGCGATCCGGAGGCCCTCCGGGAAATGCGATTGATGCCGTAGTTGTACGACCGAAGAATGTGAAATAGGGAGAACTTATCTTAGGTGGTAGCAAATAAACTATACTTTCGTTATGCTAACATGACTACCATCTTGAATGCCTAAGATGTAGATACCCAAACATCTATTGGTGTCCAGAAAACGAAAATATTGTTGAGGATCAACGACAGAAATGATCTCCGAGCCTCGTAGCACTGCTGGCGAATAACATGCAGGTCACGCCTACATTCTGAATGACCTACTCCGCTGGTTAGGAGCTCTCCAGTGACCAGAGGCTATCGGACCGTGTATACTATCGCCAGATGCTACTGGGAATCCACACACGCGAAAAAGACCTGTTAAGTGAATACCACAACAACATTTATCAATTATCACCTTTATCCAGTCTCAGTCAGCACATATCACCCAGGTTTTCCCAGGTTCTCCTAGGTACTTTCAGGAGGATATAATTTACAGTCTCCCGAGTACAGCGGTTGATCATGGTCACGTTGACAGTTGCCCATATAGAATGTTCAGCCCTGGCGGAGCACGGGTCAACCAGTGTGGCAGACTTTCAGTGACTCAGCAGACCTTACTCATACTCGTTGAAGATCTTCATGCACATATTGACCACCGGAGCCGTAGTAGGCAGTGTAGTAAGAAGACGAAGCCGTTATCAGCCCGTTATCAGCCCGTGGGTAAGATGTCTGTGCACTTCCACACAGTCCGACTCCAAGCGTGACAAGTGAATGGGGTGGGCCTCTTCTCCCTCGAAGCTGTGTATATTGTAGCTTGGCGACAAGCGAATCGCCAAGCATCTTCAGATTGTCTCGTTTCGGCCCATCATCGCTCGGATTGCCAGTACTGAGCGTCCCGTTGTAGAATGGCTCGTTCCCGAATTGGGGACCCCGCGGTCCTGTCGGTGGATCTCCAAGGCTGGGGGAGCCTCCGACCTCAGCCTCAGATATGCTCCGTCTAAGACTTGGGACTTTCAAGACAGGAGACCAAATCCATTTAAAGATGCGACTTCTATCCATGGGGCTAGTTTGACGGCGGACGCGTACTTTCCAACCTCACACCCAGGCTGTAACATTGGTGACAAGATGTTGCGACTCACGCGGTATAATATCTTGATTGTCTGTGCTGCTTGCCTTGGCGCATACTCTTACGGCTTTTCGTATGCCGTCTTTGTCACTTCCATTGGAGAACCTGGGTTTTTCACTTATTTTGAATTGGACCGTGGGTTGATACGGACTGCATCCCTGTCGTATTTAGCTAACCTGTGCCTGTAGCAACCTCGGACTACACTGCTACTTTGATCGGAGCCATCAGTGGGCTCTTCTGTGCCGGAGCTGCTTTTGGAGCCATCATACAATCCTACACGAGTGACAAGTATGGTCGACGAAAAGCCCTCGCCTTCGGCGGCGCCATCTCAGTGGTTGGCTCCGCGGTTGTGGCTGGCTCTATCAACATACCGATGTTATTCGTCTTTCGATTCATCACTGGCCTAGGAGTAGGCCAACTGCTGGCTCTGGTCCCGCTGTACGTGGCAGAGGTCGCACCACCCCACCGTCGAGGCCTTCTCAGTGCACTTGTTGGGGTTGGATTCTCTTTAGGTTATCTCAGGTATTGAACCTCACCGATGGAAGTGTGGAATCCTCTTCTGATTTTCTCCGCAGCTCCGCGTGGATTGGTTACGGCACGTACTTTACCACAAACAACACAGTTCAATGGCGTATGCCTCTTTGTTTGGCTCCACTGGCTCCTCTGGGGCTGGTGATTGTCTGCTACTGGATCCCTGAATCTCCCAGATGGTCGGTTTGGGTAGGCCACGACGCAGAGGCATGGAGAACAATTCAGAAAGTGCATCACGACCCTAATGACTCGCGAGATGCAGCTGCACACGCGGAATTCATCCAAATCAAGAGACAAGTGGCACATGACAAGGAGATGAAAGCATCATTTGTCCGCATGTTCACCGTTCCTTCATGGAGGAAGCGCACTCTCTTGGCCATCTTGATCATGTTTGCCGTGCAATCATCTGGCTATAACGGGATCACCTCCTACCTGGTTCTCGTCGCTCAATCGGCAGGAATGACGGGTGCGATGCCTCTCCTGATGTACGCTATCTATGTTGTCATTGCGGTCTTTTTCAACTTTGTCAACGCCGTCGTCATCGATCGGGTTGGGCGGAGAAGAATGCTGCGTAAGTACATCTTGTAGAGCTGGATTCCAGAGACGGTGAGAGCCGTCGGCTAACGAGTGCTGCAAACAGTCATTGGCATTGTCTGGACCGGATCATGTCTCCTTGCTGCCGCTCTTCTCAGCTGGAAGTATGCGGGTACCTCGCACAAGGCTGGCAACGGTGCTGCAATGTTTTTCTTCATGATGTTTGGACTGGGACTGGGACTGTTCCTTGATCCAACTCAGTTCGTGGTGAGTGGCGTTCCCACACGTAGAGGCAGAACTGTTGCTGATCAAACGTCTCAGTGGTGCTCCGAGGCATTTCCAACTACCATTCGAGCCAAGGGTCTCACTATTGCCCTGTTCACATACTTTGTCTCGACGATATTGTACACAGCACCAGCACCTAAGGCCTTTGCAAATATTGGTTGGAAGTTCTACCTGGTCTTTATCTCCTGTGACATTGTGTGCTTCGCTATGCTGTACAAATGGCTACCGGAGACAGGCAACCTGACCCTGGAGGAGATAGGTAAGCTGTTTGGGGATGAAGTTGTGACCCACTTTGCCCAAGATGGCAATGGCCTGGTTGAAGTGGACGCCATGGCCGACTTCGATGAGAAATCTATCACTACGCAGATTGAGGAAGCCACACCGATCCACGGTGGAAAGTGATTATGTCACCACCACGAAGTCCAGGAGCAGGGGTAACCAGGAAGTGGACGAATTCGAACTTGAAGTTGCTCATGGGAGATTGTGCACAGTTTGGTAGTAGATAGCTCCGTGAGGAAGCAGGGGGCCAATGAGCTGTGAACGAAAGATTCTGTCTCTCTTGTCACCTCAAGTTGTGGATAAGTTTTGAGGGTGCAGTTGCTGGTGCGATCAAAAATGAGACGCTGTCATCAAAGAAATGAACAAGTGTAGCTTGCATCAAGTAGAACTCCTAAAGAGGGTATTGCCGACAAGAGAAGGCCTCAGATTGTTCTCGTACAGTATGAAAAAGGTGAATGTCAGCTGTTGCAGCTGCTCGAAGAACGTACAGCCTCATGAGAATGAATTGGTAGTGACGCGGCCAGTCGTGCCCCAGCTTCCCAAACGCCACCCGTCATCGCAGCCTCACAAGCTGAAAAGGCGAGAAACATGTCATGCCAAGTTCTCCAACTCCGCCACTGTTGCTGTTGTGGACTCTCCACAGTCACGTGCTCCTGCACGAGACCTATCAGGGGCACCTGCCACTTCATACCTGACATAGCAATAGATAGGTGTCTTCGGCACTCCCATAGAAGATAGCCAGACAATCAACCGTACCACACCTCTACAGTTGCACTGCGGCTAAAATAGGTTGTGTCAGCATGGCGTTGGTTGGGAATCAGCCCTTGCGGAAAGAAAGGAGCAGACAAAGTATTCGACTACAACCATCACCACCGGTGCTTCTTTGCTAGAGGGTGCTGACCTTGCTGGGCCAAGTGGTAGAGTTCCGATCCTTATCAGAGGATCATATGAGAAAGCTTACAGCGAATAGCTATCTCCGTCGATCTCGCCCGCCGTCAGATTTCCACTGATCAAGCCAGGATAGCCTCCGCACCTGAATGCTTGCCTTTTTACGACCATGACGATCGTGCTACCCATGTTGAACCCAGACGACAGAATAAGTTCTCCTCTTTCCCCAAGCCCCTATCACCCTGCACGTAATTACTCATCTGAACTCGAGATTTTTCATCCCGCCACAGCGGGGCCGAAGTCTAGACCCAAGATCAATTCACTTTTTCGATAAATCCAGACTAGTCTAAGCCAATTGCCCCGCTCCAAGGAATGATGTGAGCCAATGATAATTTGGCCGCAGATACTAGCCTTTCCTGAGTGGCAGTCTCCAGCCACCAATAAAAGTATGATATTTTCCATGTGGTTCCGGAATCGGTACGGGGGACTGTTGTCTACCTGGTAGCGAAGTGGGGTAAAGCCGGGGATTCAGAGTCTGGAGAGGTGCCAAGGTGAGCAAGGTCTGTATTTTCTGAATCTCACCCACCTAGTCTTCTCATTGCCGTTGTAACAACAGTCTCGCGATCCCATGTTGTATGTTTGTCTACGATATCTTTGCCCATCGATTTGACCCTATGGCTGCTGTGGACAACAAAACCCGGGCTACCGTGAGGTCGGCTCTGGCATGTGATTTGTGTAAAAAGTAAGTGGTGCGCCCCGGTTTCTGCGCGAATACCCCGGAGAGAAGCTCAATGATGAGAAAGATGCACCGATAGCGGAACCGTAGATACCCCGGGCTATTCTTCTTCTTCACAGCTCTCCATGTGCCAATGAGAAGCGACTGACTAGAGATTTGTAGGAGAAAGTCCAGATGGTCAGCAACCTCGCCGCCACCCCGTCAAACCTCGTTACTAACGCGTCCGTGCTACAGTGATCGACAGATTCCATCATGTTCGTTCTGCCGACAGACCTCCAACACCTGTACATATCCTACGGCCCGCTTGAAACCAGGACCCAAATTAGGTGAGTAGGATGTTGACGTGTCATGAGAGGACTGGCCATCTTACGATCAATAAGGCTCTAGCCATCGTCGTCGCTGCGCACGATCATCATACCCTCCGACAGGGCAAGCAGTCATTCAATCTCACTTCTTAAACGCTTCTCAGAATGGTGCGCTCCAGCATCAACCCAGTGACGGTATCCATACAACCTTTGCAGGCGAAGGCGACGGTATACTTTCATCACCAGAAGATTTTTCCATCAATGCCTCGTCAGAGTCTCCGCGCAGCATCACAACCTCCCAGGTGGCAGTCTTGAACTTTGCAAAAGCCATTAGTCTCTCTAGAATCCTGTATCCCTCCCATGAACCTTCTCTTGGCCCGGCCCCTGCCCAGAAAGAACGTTCCCAACCCGGATTTTTGTTGGTTCTTGCAGGAGCCCAGGAGAACTTGGCGAAGGCCTGCGAAGTGCTTCGTATGTCCATCAAGCAAGCCCAGTCATGGTAAGCAAGGCCCTTCCCTTCGTCTTCACACCCCGACCAGATGGCTGCTTTGTCGTGTATGAGTTGAGCTGACCTCCCGGGGCTTACTATAGCATTGATCTCTTTTTTGAGATGGTGGCAGGATTGAAGTCCCTGTCTATCTTTCATCAACCCTCCTTTCCAGACAAGATCCGTGGCATACAAGATCGGAATCATCTCATTGCTCTTTTCGCAGCAATGTTTTCTCTCTCCTCCAGGTTGGCCACGGAGGACAACCTCCCTCCAGGCGAGGACACTCTGGGCATTTCTCACCAAGAACTCCACACACTCTCTCTACAGTACATCAACTCATCCTTGGAAGCTTGCACGAGTCACGCTCCCCCTCTGTGCCTGCTCCAAGCCATCACCTTAGCGGGTTTCTACAAGCTCGTGAATGGAGTATATGGGCCAGCTTGGAGGCTGGTTGGTGCCGGTGTGCGTATTGCGTACGAGCTACGACTGCACTTGATCGATTCCAAAGGATATGAGAAAGTGCCCACCCGCGACAGCGAACTCATGATATGGTCCTCGGACGAAGAGCGGCGTCGTTGCTGGTGGGCTTTATGGGAAATGGATATCTTTTCCTCGACAATCCAGCGTGCACCTACTGCCATTGACTGGAGCGCAAACGAAACATTCCTTCCAGTTGCCGACGAATACTGGTTTACAAACACCTATCAGGCCTCCTGCCTCCTGATTGGCAGTCCTGAAGAACGGTGGAAGAGACTCAAGCAGTCGGGGAATGAAAACTCCACTGCATGGGCACATCTCCTGGGGTCTCTAATGCATGATGGGCGGTTACTATGCCAGGAAAGCATCAAAGGAATCACCTCTAATATTGACCTGCCAAACGATGTTCCAAGACTTGCACAGTATTATAGTCAGGCCTACAGACTCAAAACACAAGGATTCTCGGATCGGCTTTACAGTCTTGTCAAAGCATACCAAGATGTAAGAGAGAACCTTCCCAGCACACTGGCCTATCGGGATGAACACCTATCTTTTGCCTTGACCGAAGGCGACGATCCTTATTCAACGCTTCGAACGAGCGCAGGAAAATACTCTGTACAAATGATGAGCGCCTCGGCGTCCTTTATGATTTATCAGAATTATGTTTTCGCCGATATCATCGAAGGGCTGAGCCCCCTGTCGTCTTCCCACGCTGGCCACGAAGGATCTGGTAGAGATTCTACATGCAACGAAAGGTCTCTACTCGGCAAAGGGTTCAGAAACTATCTGGAAACAAGCGACATGGTCCTGCGGCTCCTATCAAATTGTCCCGAAGACCATGTTCGTTATGCGAACCCTTACTATGCCAGTACTACGTGGATCGCTGCAGCATTACAAGTATTCAAGAGATTCACATTGCGCGATCATGACTCGACTGTTACACAACGTCAGTATGACCTCCTGCGCCGATCATATCTTCAATTCAATCAATTTTGGGACACACCAAGTGCCCTGCTGCAAAATCTCGATTCTCTCGAAGCAAGACTCGATTGCCGACACAGAGAACTCGACTTACAGGATAGCAGCGCCAGGACTACTCGGATTGATGATCAACAGTGTCATGATGACACACCTTCTTTCGCAAGCACAGAAACCATGATGGCTTCTGTGTCAGAGGATCAACTTCTCTCCACCTGGTCGGCATTGAAGGGCTCTTTGTGCAACACATCTCAGCCATCAATTAGTGATCCGACCGCTGGCTACCCGGTGTTAGTGCCTGACGACGTGGAACTGCCATCTGGTATGGGCACAAAATTTGACTCTTCGTTAAATCAAGAGACTTTTTCGGAAGCATATCCGGATCCCTGGCCAAACGATTTATTTCTGGACAATCTTGTGTGGTATTCATCAGATGTGATGGCGGGCCTCTCTCACGGGTATACTGCATGACAGCGCATTGGTGGCTAGTATCAATTGTATTCTGCACAAATTTTGCAAGGGCGAGGACTAGATATGGAGAACACTATGGTTGAAGTACCTCATTGATACTTACAGGGAGGGCAATTAATCGGAATCAGGAATTGGGCCCCCGATCATGAACCAGCTTGGAAATATATGGCATGTATCAAATTATGAGCATACAACATTGAAATATCAGCCACGGGTCCAAACTCAACGATAGCCCAAACTGTCTTATCAACAGGAAATCAAAGTGTCAATCTTTATAGGCTCAGGCAGCATTGCGGCCAAGTATTGAAACCAACACGTCTGAGAGTTTTCGCTCACATGCATCTTGACCTTCGAGGACGGCTGGAGCTCTCCAAGCAACGAAGCGATCAGGTCGAACCAAGACAACCCCTGAATCTCCAACACCGCGCACCCGCTCCCAGTCATAATAGACGTCCTCCCATTGTTGTCGAAATCCAATGGAATGCACCGCAATGGGAATTCCGAGCTTATCAGAGACACATTTGGCAGCTTCGTACCAGTGCTCTCCTCCAGGGCCCGTGAAAAGAGTGAATCCACCATGCCCGGCGAGATCGACGGTCGACACGGGTTCCGTTGGGATTGTTTTATTGAGCCACACGTGTGGCAGACGACATCCAGGATAAGTACTCTTTTCGTAGTAGAGGATGGGATCTTCGGCGGCGCGCCCGGAATGCCTAAAGGGCTCCGCTTCATCCGCGGCGTACACGCCCGGACCGCTATATGTTTGGTTCATTTCCACACCGAGCCCGTGAAATTCGTGGCATGAGTTCGTGATGGCATCCTGCAGCTGACGCCGGCGTTCACTCCCAGTTGTGGTGGGAGCACTTAGTTCGTTGAGGATGGCCTTCCGACCCTCCACATCTGGATGGAGCGCCCCCAGCGCCTCCCAGATCTTGAAATGGTCACGAAACCCGTTGTTCGCCCGCGTGATGATCTGATGGCCGACAGGTTGTCTCTCGATACTATAGGTTGAGAGCAATGAAGGATCGGCGAGGCCGCGATGGACGTACGCAAGCTTCCAGGCTAGATTGAACGCATCTTGAATACATGTGTTGGAACCTAGCCCATTGAAGGGAGGGTGACGGTGGACTGCGTCTCCGAGACAGAACCTGTTTGTGAAATTGTCAAACAACAGTTATAGAGATCCAGGGGAATCGGCTCGTTGAAGCTGGACTCACACGTTTCCCTCAGAGTATTTGACTGCAACAATCTCGTTGATGAACCATTTGGAGATGTCAATAATCTCGGTGGGGGTCTCGTCACCGATAAAATCCCTCACTCTCTGGAGGTATTCCTCCTTGGAGGGTGAGATCTGAGGGTCACAGTCTCGAGTCGGTAGTAAGATAAACATCCACTCATTCCATGGCTTGACCATGCGTACAATCCCCATCTGGCCGAACTCAGGATGCTTCTTGTCAGGCTGCATGACCCAATGCAAGTTTCCTCGTCGATGCTTGACCAAGTGGGATAGATCCGCTTTGACCAACACATTGATTGCCATACCTTGACCTGGTTTGACCGAGAGTGGAAGGTCGAGTTGTTTCACCACTTGGCTGCGTGCTCCGTCAGCCCCCAAGAGGTATTTGGTTCGGATTTGATATTCCAAGGAAGAGAGATTATCCCGCACGTTAGCAGTGATCAGGCCGCTTGCAGGGTCAGTCTCAAAGGAGAGTAACGTCGTATCGAACCTCGTCTTGAAACCTCCAAGGGTGGCGTGGCGCACGAGCACTGGCTCCAGAAGTGTCTGGGGTAGATCTACTGGTGAGCATGGACTGGCGCTTTCATAATCTCCCTAAGATATCACCGAATTAGAGAACCGGACATGCATACCATGTACGCAACTGACCTTTCTTGCAGGATCATTGCCCCACGAGTAAATCCGAGCGTATTCTTCTCCAGCCATACTATGGCACCATCGGGTATGAATCATGCAGTCCCCTTTCGACGAGAGATTCTCGAGGTCTTTGTCGAGCCCGATGTCTCGGAGACACTCTTAACTTAACTCAGCTATTACCACTCTTCAACCTTGGTTTTCGGCACGTACCTAGTGCAGCCATGTTCGTGATGTGAGCGCGTGGAGTGTTGGCTGTCCCCGGAGCATTGCTGATCATGACACCTTTCAGCCCTATCCAAGTCAGCATCGTAGTTGCTCATGGGCGGAGAAGGAACCACTATACCATAGCTCGTCAAGAACGATGCCAGAGCTGCGCCTGCGGGACCTGCACCGACAACCAGGAACTCAGTGTCGAGCGAGGAGTTCCCGGGATTTTGCGCCGAGGAAGAAATCCGCCGTACACTATGGGTTGACGGAAGATTGATACCAAAAGAACTGCTCGCCTTCATCCGGGCTCTGGGGTTCTTGTTAGCTGTATTTTGCCTGTTCGAGGGCGGTAGGAGGGCTCCGCGTGAGGTACATATCGAGCGAGAAGGGACACCATTACAAGGCAGTTCTGGGCGTTTGAAGAGAAGTGATAAGCCAGGAGGCCTGACAAGAGGGACTCGATCAAAACGCGCGCAACGTAGACTTGCCATCTTGTTCGGTACCTTCACCAGCCTTGACTGTCCATCTTCAACTTTACAGATGGGCGCGACCACATGTTATCCAGCTTGGATTGCGGGGGTATTCTTTCCATCGAGAAGGGGACGGCGATCTTGACTCGAGATCATTGGCTGGGATAATCAAGTTAATCAAAGATAGGCCGAGGCTACGTTAGCAGCCTCATGGGGCATGTGGACCGGGGGTTTCTCCGTGCTGGCTGGGAGCACGAAGCTGGTCAGGACGCAAGAAGGGTCCCGTACTACTTCGGAATGGTCACGCAACTTTTGTACGGACAGAATTTTCTGGGGCGTGAGTCCCCGAAATTGATCCAGGGACGCCAAACAAACGCATGCAGGAGTTTCGTAGGGTACTGCCTTTTCATCATAACACCGGCACATGCTATCCCCACGTGGTTATACACGTAGCATTCGACATGTAGCTCTGCAATAGCACGTCTTGCGCATGTCTGTGAGAGTCACACTTCCGAAGCTTATACTAGCCTGATGACTCCCTGTCCGTCATTCTCGGATATCATTATCCTAAACATGAAGCAAGTAGCTCAACACCTAACTTCGTTTCGAGTTTCCCACCAAAACGAACGGAAAAGAGACGTTGACCCCGGCATATATCTATCGTTTGTAAAGATACGTCACTTGAGGAATGTGCTAGAAGGCCTCTGGAGCATCTTGAGCCAGTTTTCTCCCTGCTCGGTAGCCAAAGGCCATTCCCGGTCCAATGCTGGAGCCTCCTCCCGGGTAAGCCCCCTTAAAGACACTGTTTTGATCACAACCGACTGCGTATAGTCCCTTGATAGTCTGGCCGTTCTGGTCTAGTACTTGTGCATCGTTGTTTGTTATCAACCCATACAGAGTGCTGACATTGCCGGGGTACAGCGGGAGCGCATAGAACGGACCAGTCGCGCATGGTTGAATATTGGGATTTGGTTGAACTTGCGGGTCGCCGTAGAAGCGGTCGTACGCGGTCTCGCCTCGATGGTACTGTGTATCAACCCCTGTCGAAGCGAAGTCATTATACTCAGAGACCGTCTGCATTAACGCTTGGGTAGGGACACCGATTTTCTCCGCGAGTGCGGGAATCGTGGGCGCTGAGATCAGATAGCCTTGTCTCAGTAGCTTCCAAATTGGGTAGGGCCATGGCAATGCCATTCCCATACCGTATTTGCGAAGATGCGTGCGGTCGCCGATGTAGTACGCTTTCTGGATGCCCTTCTGGTGCATGGCACTGACAAACTCCTGGTAAGGCTCCGACTCGTTTGCAAACCGTCGACCGTCAGGCCCAACAATGATGGACCCAGGCTTGGATCGATCGATCGCGAAATGTGGAAAGCGGCGTACCGGACCATTCGCGACAGGCAGGAGAGAGATAGGAGCAAAGATGGCATTCGACGGGTTCTTGGGCGGTAGAGCACCGCCGCTGGCAACACCAATCCGCTTGCCATCTCCTGTATTGCCTCGTGGGCATGCACACCATTCATGCGGGACATACTGTTTGGCCTCCTCTGATCTGCCAAAACCACCACTAGCAAGGACCACTCCCCTGCGAGCGTATACCGTGGTCTCTTTGCCTTGACGGAGAACTTGAACACCTGCGACACGCCCGTTCTCGATCACGGGGTCTGTGGCTGACGTATTGTTCCAAAGGTCCACCCCTTGCTGCTGCACAGAAAACAACAGCCGTCCCACAAGTGCATTGCCATTGGCCATGTCGGTTCCCTTGCCATAGCGAATCAGGTCTGCAGCGTAGCGAAGCGCTTTCTTCGTCACCTTGACCAGATTCGTGATACTACCAAAGGGATTGGTCACAACTGGTAACTCCTCTGGGTCTGCTTGCATCGAACCAAATGCAGAGTAGCCCTGGATTGGATAGCGAACCTGCTTGATCAATGGCCCCAGTTGACGTCCATCAAACTTTTCTGTCAGGATCGTGCGACCTGCCGAGGCACCTTTTTTCGAGACATGGTAGTCCGGCAAAGGAACAGGCTTAAAGCGAACAGCAGAGTTGTCCTCCATCCATTTCACCATCTCCGGAGCTGATTCAAGGAAAACTGGTACTTTCTTGGGGTCGTAGAGGTCTCCCAGCACCTCGTGAAGATAGATATCTGCTTGAGCTGCCGAGTCCTGCACACCTATAGCTGCTTGGTGCTTGTTGGCCGGTATCCATGCTCCGCCACCAGAGTAAGCTGTTGTGCCGCCAAAATACTGTGTCTTCTCCAAGACCATGACCTTGAGACCATGCTTTGCGGCGACGAAGGCGGTGGTTAAGCCCGAACAGCCAGAGCCGACAACTACAACATCGTAGGTAGCCTCATGCTGAGGAGCTGAGAACGAGGTTAGTGGGACCAAGAGTAACACTGACTGCTGGCCGATTCTCGAACGTACCTCGACGGGCCTGACCAATGCTAAAACAACGACGAGTCGACAATATTGTTCCGTCAACGAAGCGTGTCAGCCTTAACACGCGGGGAGGGCCAGAGAGGAAAGCCATGATGACTGCTCTTGTATCTTTCAACCAAGATCCGGTCTTCTGCGCGAAGCTATTATAACAGCTTCTAGGGCAATGATATGATTTGGACTCTGGGTTCAATCATCAACGGGACTCCATGAGCGAGTCATAAGCCAAGCCTGCCATCCAAGGGAAACCCCCCCTGACTATGTCCCTAACTACCTCCGCTGTCGCCTCAAAGTCTTTGGCTTTGTCCTAGCGTAAAATCTAGGTCGAAATACTGAAAGGCTAACGGATCCACTTCTGGTAGGAGGCGGAGAATAGAACACGGGACCTCGGAGCTCGGAATTTTTCGATAGCTATCGAGAAACTATGCTAAAGTCTGCGATATCCTCCATTTCCACCCCATGAGCCTGGCGGATGACATATTTCACATGATCCAGGGTGTCCTCCGCCAAGTACGGTTCCTCACCTCGACCCATGACTTTATCCCAATTCTCCAGAAATCCCTCTGCCGTTTCGGATTTGACCCCGGGGAACGTTGCGAGTGTTTCCCGGGCAGCCCTGTTTGCGCTCGCTGTGAACACTTCACCCGATGATGGGCACTCCTCCGAGGCGAGACTGATGACGAAGGGAACAACCCCCTATAGCGATATTAGTAAATTCCTGCGAGTTTCAATCAGCTATCATAGTGTTTAGACTTACCTCCGGCTGGAAATAAGTCCTTGTAACCTTTTTTGTGCCCTCAGACAGATCTCCCATCCTAGAGGCGGCCGATGGCATGACGCAGTTGATCTTGATGCCATCTCGTGGTGCCCAGCGACCAAGTTCTCGCGTAATGGCAAATACAGCAGCCTTCGAGGCGCTATAAGCACAGTCTCCTCCCGCGCCAAACCCGTAGATGGCGTTCGAGGATGTATTGATGATTCGGCCGTACTTCTGCCTCGCCATCCAAGAGTAGCACGCACTGGTCATCAATGTCGTTCCAAGAGTCGCTATTTCAAGCACTCTCATGAAAGCGCCGGCATCCACATCGTCATGTGGGGACATCTTGCCAGCGATCCCAGCGTTGTTTATCAGAATGTCGACAGTGCCAAACTCCTTGACGGTGTCGGCCACAATTTCCTTGGCTGCAGCCACAGAAGAAACATCGTGGCTATCTGCAATCGCAATGCCCCCGGCAGCTTTGATTTCTTCAACCACCGCTCGTGCGCGAGCACTTGTTCCCGGTTGTCCATCTAGGGTCCCGCCATAGTCGTTGACGACGACCTTAGCCCCTCTCTTTGCCAATTCCAAGGCGTAAAGGCGACCTAAGCCTCCGCCAGCGCCGGTAACAATTGCAACTCTTCCTCGAACAGACATGACCGTATTAGCTTGCTTATCCTATTGGCCTCAGGTGAACGCGTAATCTGTTTTGAATGGGGATAGAAAAAGCAATCAGATATCCAGCTATGTGTTCCGGGACGACGACTTGATATCTGTCAGCTTTGAGCAGCGCAGCTCGTGGCAATATGGCTCTTCATGGTCGCTGATGTAAGGTATGAAGCTACGAACTCGAGGCGGGGTAGCCTTACCGGCCCTGGCGGGCAACGTGTATTCTCCCCATTTACTTGAACATTCATTATTGCGCAACCTGATTTGACCACTTTACCGTCGGTATGATTTCGAATGTGACAGGGTTGAGATAGAGGAAGGAAAGAGCTCACCCGATCAGCTGCCTACTCTCCTTGGTGTATTTCCGAGGGTTTGATGTTGAGGACTTCGGGGCATCTTCATGGCCATCGGTGATTCATGGACTAATTCCCGGAGGGACTCCGTTGTAGTCTAACTGTAGTAAGACTGGCGGTAGTTAGGTCTCCTCTGGGGCCCCGCTGGAGGTTCTGAACCGACATCGTCTGACAAAACGTCCTTTGGGACTGGACCAAAAGGGAATACCCTGCCCGCCACCCCGAGTTCAATATTAATGACATCATGGAAGGGAGATAAGGGTTACTTGACTTGGTGGGTTGGGTCGCCTATAATGCTGACTAAAAGCCATTCCACCACGTGTAAGCCAGGCTTCATTATAATATCTGTGGTCTGTGGCAACAGGGGGAGTGGTTGTCTTCTGGTTTGTAGAATACCTCTTGAGGCTAGTCA